TAGGCTTGGTTACAAGTACTGACTGATGTTGTAGTGGCCAGACTTAGGCTTGGTTACAAGTACTTCTGGCAGTTTGTGAGACACAAAGATGATGATCAAACTAAATGTAAATTATGTGATCAGGCATATGGTCACTCTCTTGAACACTATGTGCTTAATTGTCCACTTATTGAGGAATACAGAGACAGACAGTATAATAACCTATGTGACATGTCAAGATATCTTATTAATGAAAATAAGATACCAGATATACTAAGCAAATTTCCTAAATTTGCTTGTAACAGATAAGTGAACTATAGATATGTAGATATAAATCCATATGTATTCCTGTTAACCCTTTGGGGCCTAGTTCCTAGGCCTTTTGTGTATCCATATGCTCTTGCGCTACCGTCCACAGGATGAATATGGGGTGCACAATAAACTAGCCACTTCGGTGGCAAAATCTAATCTAAAATCTACCTCTGTATGTATGTTCAAATTATTAAACAAATAAATAAATAAATAAATTGTAACTCCCATGAAAATTCATTGTGTAGGGGGTTAATTAATTTAGATTATTATCTTTATTATGCAGCCAATACCCATCCTGTGGACGAGTCAGAATATTACAGAGGTATATAATGGATCCAGGTACTGGGCAAGTAGGTTTATTCAGGTATACACAAATACAGTTACATAGATTACCACTATATTTCTTTGTACACCTATATATCATGTCCAAATAAAAAATAAAATAAACAAATAAATACATAGCAGCACATATGTAGAAAACCTGGGATAACCAAAAAAAAAAAAAAAAGTCAAGAGTGAATTATTTCCATTGGGGTCCTCAAAGTTATGCTAGCCCAAGTTACAATGAACTTTACACATTTATATCTGGTTACAATCGTAATAAATCATTTATGCATACATAAATTAGATCACACACACAGGAGAATCATATTTTCTGACATATATTATGGCATAAATATAGTGGCGGGTGATGTCAGCAGTGAGAAGCGTCACTTGCTGCAACACACACACACCATCCTTCACTTCCCATTTCATCCTCATTTTTCTCCTTATTTGGTTAATTACTTGCAGGTGAGTGATGAATATTAGTTGAGTGAGTGTGTGATGGTATCGTGCCTGCAGGTCCCGCTACCATGGTATTAATAATGAAGGTAATGTATCAGCAGAGGCTGCCTGGTATTGAGCCGCCTCCAACACTTATCTACACACAGGTACACATAAATACACTTACACAAATTATCATACATAGTAACGTATGTGTAAATGACCCAGGATGACCCCAGAAAAAAAGCCAAAGTGACTTACTTCCACTGGGGTCATTGTATTTCCACTTCTCTTATTTAGTCTACACAGCTTGAGAAATATGTTATTGTTTTATTGTTTTTTAGTGGTCTTGATGGCACACTGTAGTTATGGGCACTCCTACGGGTTTAGCGCTCACCCATGATTATAATAATAGTTATGGCTACGTTAGGGTCATCTACAGTGTTATGTAGACATAACACTGAAAATGACCCTAATGTACCATACACTGTAGATGACCAATGTGCCATAACACTGTAGATGACCCTAATGTAGACATAACACTGTAGATGACCCTAATGTAGCCATAGCACTGTAGATGACCCTAATGTAGCCATAACACTGTAGATGACCCTAATGTAGACATAGCACTGTAGATGACCCTAATGGTGCCATAACACTGTAGATGACCCTAATGTAGCCATAACACTGTAGATGACCCTAATGTAGCCGTAACACTGTAGATGACCCTAATGTAGACATAACACTGTAGATGACCCTAATGGTGCCATAACACTGTAGATGACCCTAATGTAGCCATAACACTGTAGATGACCCTAATGTAGCCATAACACTGTAGATGACCCTAATGTAGCCATAACACTGTAGATGACCCTAATGTAGCCATAACACTGTAGATGACCCTAATGTAGCCATAACACTGTAGATGACCCTAATGTAGCCATAACACTGTAGATGACCCTAATTGTGCCATAACACTGTACATGACCCTAATGGTGCCATAACACTGTACATGACCCTAATGGTGCCATAACACTGTAGATGACTCTAAAGTAGCCATAACACTGTAGATGACCCTAATGTAGCCATAACACTGTAGATGACCCTAATTGTGCCATAACACTGTAGATGACCCTAATGGTGCCATAACACTGTAGATGACTCTAAAGTAGCCATAACACTGTAGATGACCCTAATGTAGCCATAACACTGTAGATGACCCTAATGTAGCCATAACACTGTAGATGACCCTAATGTAGCCATAACACTGTAGATGACCCTAATGTAGCCATAACACTGTAGATGACCCTAATGTAGCCATAACACTGTAGATGACCCTAATGTAGCCATAACACTGTTGATGACCCTAGTGGTGCCATAACACTGTAGATGACCCTAATGTAGCCATAACACTGTAGATGACCCTAATGGTGCCATAACACTGTAGATGACCCTAATGGTGCCATAACACTGTAGATGACCCTAATGGTGCCATAACACTGTAGATGACCCTAATGGTGCCATAACACTGTAGATGACCCTAATGGTGCCATAACACTGTAGATGACCCTAATGGTGCCATAACACTGTAGATGACCCTAATGGTGCCATAACACTGTAGATGACCCTAATGGTGCCATAACACTGTAGATGACCCTAATTAGCCATAACACTGTAGATGACCCTAATGGTGCCATAACACTGTAGATGACCCTAATGTAGCCATAACACTGTAGATGACCCTAACGTAGCCATAACACTGTAGATGACCCTAATGGTGCCATAACACTGTAGATGACCCTAATGGTGCCATAACACTGTAGATGACCCTAATGTAGCCATAACACTGTAGATGACCCTAATGTAGCCATAACACTGTAGATGACCCTAATGTAGCCATAACACTGTAGATGACCCTAATGTAGCCATAACACTGTAGATGACCCTAATGTAGCCATAACACTGTAGATGACCCTAATGTAGCCATAACACTGTAGATGACCCTAACGTAGACATAACACTGTAGATGAGCCTCAAAACGAGGGATGCCAAGCCCATGATGACACTCTTCAGGTCACTTGTTCTATCTAGGCTGGAATATTGCTGCACACTAACAGCACCTTTCAAGGCAGGTGAAATTGCTGACCTAGAAAATGTACAGAGAACCTTCACGGCGCGCATAACGGAGATAAAATACCTCAGTTACTGGGAGCGCTTGAGGTTCCTGAACCTGTATTCCCTGGAATGCAGGCGGGAGAGATACATGACTATATACACCTGGAAAATCCTAGAGGGACTAGTACCGAACTTGCACACGAAAATCACTCACTACGAAAGCAAAAGACTTGGCAGACAATGCAACATCCCCCCAATGAAAAGCAGGGGTGTCACTAGCACGTTAAGAGACCATACAATAAGTGTCAGGGGCCCGAGACTGTTCATCTGCCTCCCAGCATACATAAGGGGGATTACCAACAGACCCCTGGCAGTCTTCAAGCTGGCACTGGACAAGCACCTGAAGTCGGTTCCTGACCAGCCGGGCTGTGGCTCGTACGTTGGTTTGCGTGCAGCCAGCAGCAACAGCCTGGTTTATCAGGCTCTGATCCACCAGGAGGCCTGGTCACAGACCGGGCCGCGGGGGCGTTGACCCCCGGAACTCTCTCCAGGTAAACTCCAGGTATGTAAACAATACAATAACCAAATTCTGTAAACTCAGCATTGTAATCCTTATAGAGAATAAACTTTGAATTTGAATTTGAATATAGCATTACCTAATAGAATATTCAGTTCCCTTGTACTCACTGTAACTTATCTAATGACCATATGAACTATTATTGCCTTTATAATTTAATTTTTATAAGTTAATTTTTAAGTTTGCCCAAAATGCTCTGCATACAAAGGGGCTTTTGGCATGTACACTCGAATGTTATACGTACATGTATTCCTCTGTACAACCATGTATCGTGTCAAAATAAACTTATTCTTATCTACGGTGTTATGGGTACATTAGGGTCATCTACAGTATTATGGCAACATTAGGGTCATCTACAGTGATATGGGTACATTAGGGTCATCTACAGCATTATGGATACACTAGGGTCATCTACAGTGTTATGGGTATATTAAGCTCATCTTTTATTTATTTATTTTTATTTATTTATTAATTTGAACATGATACAGAGAATTACAAGGAATACAATTTTTAAGTGCAGCATGCCAAAGCCCCTTTTATGCAGAACATTATGGGCAAGCTTAAAATTAACTTAAGATAACTAAGCAATGATATATTCAGTGGTACAAAAAATATTGTAAAACAGATAACAATTTAATACCAATGAGTATTACAAAGACAGGTCGTATGGTCATTTACTGTGTTGCTGTGTAATCAGTAGAATGGAGTATTCTGTTATGGCTACATTAGGGTCATCTACAGTAATATGGCAACATTAGGGTCATTTACAGTATTATGGCAACATTAGGGTCATCTACAGTGTTATGGGTACATTAGGGTCATCTACAGTGTTATGGGTACACTAGGGTCATCTACAGTGTTATGGCTACATTAGGGTCATCAGCAGTGATATGGCTGCATTAGGGTCATCTACAGTGTTATGGGTGCACTAGGGTCATCTACAGTGTTATGGCTACATTAGGGTCATCAGCAGTGATATGGCTGCATTAGGGTCATCTACAGTGTTATGGGTGCATTAGGGTCATCTACAGTGTTATGGCTGCGTTAGGGTCATCTACAGTGTTATGGCTACATTAGGGTCATCTACAGTGTTATGGCTACATTAGGGTCCATGTGCAACATCTGGGTATCTTTATTGTAGACGTTTCGCCATCCAGTGGCTTTATCAATACAAATTCTAGGACATAAAGATACCCAGATGTTGTACATGTGTCTTAATTTTTATCTTGTCGGTATTATATACCATTCTTGCACAACTTGTCAGACACTGCAACATCATGGAATCTTGATTCTGAAGACATGTACATAACCTTCACGACTACGACAACTACTACTAAAACAAACCCATCTCTTTGGGAAGGACCTACTTCCACTGGGGAATCCCGCCTACCAGTGACTATGCCCTCGTCTGCTACACTTGACGTTACTATATAAGCGCAAGGCTCCTTTCTTCTGCTTCAGAATCTCCACGACTATGGTGTTCTTCGCACCTACTCCTAGGTTAAGGGACTGATTACCTCATCTTCTGTATATAGTCCTACTGTCTTCAAGTTATGTCCTAGAATTTGTATTGATAAAGCCACTGGATGGCGAAACGTCTACAATAAAGATACCCAGATGTTGCACATGTGTCTTAAGTTTTTATCTTGTCGGTATTATATACCATTCTTGCACTACATTAGGGTCATCTACAGTGTTATGGCTACATTAGGATCATCTACAGTGTTATGGCTACATTAGGGTCATCTACAGTGTTATGGCACCATTAGGGTCATTTACAGTTTTATGGCACCATTAGGGTCATCTACAGTGTTATTGCTACATTAGGGTCATCTACAGTGTTATGGCTACATTAGATCATCTACAGTGTTATGGCTACATTAGGGTCATCTACAGTGTTATGGCTACATTAGGGTCATCTACAGTGTTATGGCTACATTAGGGTCATCTACAGCATTATGGCTACATTAGGGTCATCTACAGTGTAATGGCTACATTAGGGTCATCTGCAGTGTTATGGCTACATTAGGGTCATCTGCTGTGTCATGGCTACATTGGGGTGATATGCTTTGTCATGGCTATATTCAAATTCAAAGTTTATTCTCTATAAGGATTACAATGCTGAGTTTACAGAAATTTGGTTATTGTGTGGTTTACATGTAGTAAAATAGTGATTACAGAGTGTATCACTAGAACGCTTAGCATGGCTAGGCATTTCGGGCAGACTTAGTTTTATTCTTAATTGTAAAATATTACAAATTATGAGGTAAGTTGGTATTATGGCTAAGTGACTAAATACTAGTTTGTGAGTTTAGCAATGTGAATGCTTTTGTTT